CCTTTAACCTTAGTCAACTCGAATGAAAGGTCACCAGGAAGTGAAGGGAAAAATATCTGGTCCGCATCTGCCTAATGTTACATCGACCTAATGCTATCCACACCCTAATGCTATTTATGGCCTGTTTCTGAGTGTTCTGTGACCTTGTGTTTGTGCCTGTTCCATAGCCCTCAGAGTTTATGATATGTGAAGACTGCGCCCCAAACCGTGTTGGTCCGCCCATCCTTAGTAAGCCAATTAGGAGTCAAATTAATATGGAAAGCAGAAAAAAAGGACAGAGAAACCCAGCAATACCCCCACCCCGTCTACCATCCACAAATCTGTCTACGAATACGGATTAAGGTTTAAAGTGAAGACTGCTTGCCCCATGTCTAAGTATCATGTGGGCTTCAGCGGCATCCTGGAAGGTGGCCTGACTGTGTCCCTTTCTCAGAGACGAATTCCTCTGGCTGAAAGCCTTTTTCTTCTCCCAGCATGAGATTCCTGGGGAAAGCAAGTGTTTCTTTAGAGTATCTTCGTTTCTACCAGAGCTGTCTCAAAGCCCTTAAACTCTTGGGAAGCTTGCTGGCAATGTAGATTCCCGGTCACTACTCTGGGAAACTAACTAGTCCAGGGTCTGGGAGTTTGTAATTAGCATCTTCTGAGCTGCAGCCTCTGTGTCACAGGGCATGTGGCTGCTTTGACGACAATTATTTTAAAAGGTGTTTCTTTCCCCAGGCAGATGCTGTCCTTGCCAAACCTGCCCTCCCCATTACCCCCATGTCTACCACATGCAAAATCAACTCAAGAGTGTGATAGCCTTCAGGACTCTGTATCCTTTGCCTCTTGGTTTGTCCATTTCCCTCTGTTACTAATAATTATACATCCTTTTAAAGAACATGCATTGACCCACCTGTGTGTGTGTAAAGTCTTATGATAGACTTGCTGGGGACCAAGGTGACACCTGTAGTTCCCGTCCATGGGGGCAACCCTGCTCAGAGCTCTGCCTTGTTGTACAGCAACTTTGAATGCACAGCAGGAAAAAGACTGATAAAGCTCACAGAGAGAAGACATGGAGATGTGGAGATTGAAATGGGAATCTAAGAGAACAAGCCTTCAGAAGTTTCTTTGCAAGGAATGGTCACTGCCAGGAAATCTTGTAGTATTTGGCTCACAAGCTGAACATCTTAATTTTGTCTATTAGTCTTAGACTCATTCTTATATCTACATTCTATTCTACCTCAGAACACCCCACTCTTTAGAAGGACAGTTCACTGGCTTAATAAAATTATGTTATATGGCACTGATTATATTAATAAATCTTGTTAATATTGATTAACCCAGGTTCTAAGCAATATATGCTTAGATTTTCTTCTTTGTATTATATATTGGTATTACCAACACAACAACCTCTCATCCCATGAGCTATCAAATGTGAGATGTGAATGGTGGCTTTTCTCTTTTGCACATCAGTGAGTACCAGAATTAAATCTCCACAGTAGTTAGAGTTTTACTTTCATGAGAATTCTAAGAATTCTCAAACTTCGAAAACTAAACCTACAAAAACCCCATCTAGTTTTGCCAGAATGTTTAAACAGTTTTTTTTTTTTTTTTTTTTTTTTTTTTTTTTTTTTTTGCACAAAGCAACCAAACCAGCTCCGGTGAATAAAGAGAGGAAGGAAGAAGGATCGAGTTGGTAAATAAAGCACACAGAATGCATTTCCCCATTGTTTCCAGAGGATTCCAACTGAGATGTTCCAAAGCCTGACACTTAGCAAAATGATTGCCCCATAATTGCCGAGTTTCTCTAAATTTACTAAATTTAAACTAATCAGGGAAGAACTTTTAACAGCATCTCAAGCTATAGTAGGAATAAAACAAAACAATGAAATCACTTCTAAAAACCCAGGCCCCATATTTAAAGAAGTTCTTAATAAACAATGTACTCACAGCTTAAAAAGCCTGGAGCAGGAAGTGTCTTGTGGTTTTAGAGTTGACTCTCACTAAGAGTGGAAGCTCCGAGAAGCTCTGAAGAGGGGAGAGGTGGTGATCGGCTTTCAGGGGCAGTCTCTGGGCTAAAGAGCAGAGTCCTGGGTTCTGATTGGCTGTGGTGATAATCCAGGCAGAGGTAGCCCAAAGCAATGTTTTACCAAATAGGGCCTCCTGCTTTTCTTCCAGTGGACTAATCAGAAAAACCTACACCTTTCTAGGGAGGAGGAGATGTGAGTCATTCAGAGGTCCACTGGTGTTACCTGACTGGCAAAGTTACTGGCTTTTACACCTTATTTTCCTCTTTTAATATAATAAATAAAAAAGCATTGGGTGGCTTGAAATTGCAGACCCGATCAGACTGTTTTTCCGTTTGTTTGTTTCTTTGAGACAGGGATCTCTCTATGTCCTGGAACTTATACTGTAGGGTGGTCTGGAACTCACAGAGATCCATCTGCCTCTGTCCCCTGAGTGTTGGGATTAAAGATGTGTGCCACCATGCCAGGCTTCTGACCAGACATTTCTCTTTTTCTTTCTCTTCTGTCTTCTTCCCTCCCTCTCTCTCTTCCTCCCTGAAGTGCTAGGGACTGAACCCACAGCCAGGGCATGCTAGGTGAGAGCCCTATCGCTGACCTGACCAACATGTTTAGCCCTAGGTTGCTTTGTTTTCCATAACAGACTGGGCACTTGCTGTGTATTAGGCAGGGTTCTTACTTCTTATTTAAAAAAAATATAATAATAATAACTATATTATTATTATCACCCACTTGTCTCTCTTTGTGGTGTGTGCCTGCCCATGCATGCCAAAGCTGCACTTGGAGGTCAGAAGACAGCCTTTGGAAGTCTGTTCTCTCCTTCCACCTGCTGAAAAAGTCTTGTCTCTTGTTCCAGCTGTGCTGCACAGCTGGAATTCTGTCTTCCAAGCAATTCTGTCTCTCATCTCTTGTAGGAGTGCTGGGCTTACAGTTATGAGCCACCATGTCAGGTTTCTTTTTTGTTTGTTTTCTTTTTGTGGATTTCAGGGATCAAACTGAGATTGTCAGGGCTCGCCCAACTCTTTAAAAAAGTTAAATTTATTTTTATGGGTATGTGTGTTTTGTTTGTGTGTCTGTGCACCATGTGCATGTAGGTACATGTGTGCCTGATGCCCACAGAGGCCAAAAGAGGATGTTGGGTCCCTGGCACTGAAGCTACAGATGGTTATGAACCACTGGATGAGTGCTGGGAATCAAACTTAGGTCCTCTGGAAGAGCATCCAATGCTTCTAACTGCTGGGCCATCTCTCTAGCTCAGTTGTCAGGTTTTAGCTGCAAGTGCCTTAACTGCTGGGCTATCTCACTGGACCCGTAGGCATGATTTTTAATGCTAGGGGAGGCATGTTGTGAGAGCTAAAACTATGTTTTAAGTTTTAATTACAGTGCCTAAGAGATCCATGGAATAAAAACCCCTCTAACCTGCAAGCCCTTCCCGAAGGACAGATACTTCCTGAAATGCTGGAGGCTGCTGTTACTCATGACAGATAACAAGCCACATGTGTTCACTCCCCTCAACTTGATTTTTGACTCATCTATACCTCATCTTCACCATTGTGCTTGATTAATGTAGGATGGAGGTACCGGCAGGAAATACATCGGGATGTATACTTGCCTCTGATTGGATGTAGATGGGAGTTACAAAGGCAGGATATATGCCTGCCCCTGATTAGACCCAGTGGGAGATAGGATGGCCTTGTGGGGTTGCCTTTTTTGAAAATTATTTTTATATTTTATATATTTTATATTTGGGAATCTCACATCATGCACCCTGATTGTGCTCACCTCCCAGTATTCCCATGTCCACCCTTTCCCCCATCCCACATCACTGGCATGTATTAAAGAACATTTTCTTTAGAAATTATGAATTTATTTTAAACATAATTACTACTTTATAACACTGGGGAACTATCACTTGGTAGGGAGTGATTTTACAATTTACATAAACTACCCTTGGAAACACCCTGGCAAACTCTTAACAGTAACAAGATGACAGCCACACCCCCAAATAAACCAACAAAAAAGTCCATTTTGTGTGGTCCGTATACTCACTGGAGCACGGTCAAATTCCTATTGAGCAGTCCCCCAAGGGAGCGTGAGTCTTTCTCTGCCTGCATGCATGCCAGAAGCCACCAATTTAGGATGACTTGTGGTGGTTGCAGCAGGGTGGGGATAGCGCTCCTATCCCCACACAACACAGTGTGGTGGGATGGTGCAGGACAGGGCTAGCTTTTATGTGAGCCATGGGACCAACTCTCCTTCACTCATGGACATTAACATGGCCTCAGGTGGCAGCCCTAATGTGATTGCCTGTGTGTGTGTGTGTGTGTGTGTGTGTGTGTGTGTGTGTATGTGGGGGTATCTATCTGAGTCAGTAAATGGCTACTGTACAAGCATGAGGACCCAAGTTCAAATCTTCAGCATTCACTTAGAGTTGGGTGTGGTGATACCTGTTCCAGTGCTGAGAGGAGACAGGTTTCCCAGGGACTTCCAGGCAACCAGTCTAACTAATCAGTGAGCTCCAGATTTAGTAGGACACCCTGGCTCAGAAAATAAGGTGGAGAGTGACTGAGTAAGACATCTGACATGAGCTTCTGGCTTCCACATCCTCCATGGGCCCCCCCCCCCCACATATGTACACACACATACACCATATACATATAAATACCTTTTAAAAATGGCTTCTTTAGTTCTATAATTCTTCTGGTATTCTATCATTAAAGCTCAAGTTTTAAAACACTACAATGATAAACTAACAAAATCTCACTGGCATGTATTTTAATTTTTAAATTTTTTTTTAATAAACATCCCACATTTAATGGATACAGTGCTTTCGGATGGCCTTCCAGTCCCCCAGAGATGAAACGGGAGAGAGACCAAAAAATCACATCACTGGCATGTATTAAAGAACATTTTCTTTAGAAATTATGAATTTATTTTAAACATAATTACTACTTTATAACACTGGGGAACTATCACTTGGTAGGGAGTGATTTTACAATTTACATAAACTACCCTTGGAAACACCCTGGCAAACTCTTAACAGTAACAAGATTTATATCTGATGTGATTTATGGCACTTGAAAACTTTTTTAACTATTTAAAACTGTATTAAGGTTAGTTAGTCAGTAAAACTATGCCCCGATATTATCTGCCCATTATTAAACAGGCAAGGCAACTCCTCCCTGTTTTCTACATTATGGTATTTTAAAGCTAAGTGTGAAAAAGAATCCTATTATTCAAGACTAACACATAAGAGCAATCAATTCAAAGCAAGATTTTAAACTCCTTTAGATCAAATTTCATTACTCCAAAAGGAACCCAAATCAACCACCATAAAAAAGATAACTAGTCTGAAAACCTCTTCCCAGCACTCACGAGGCAAAGGCAGTTGGATCTATGGAAATTCTAGGCCAACTAGTATAGTGAGTTTCATGCCAGCAAAGGCTACATAGTAAGATCCTGTGACAAAAATATAATAAGGAAGAAAGGAAGGCAGGCATAACATCTAAATTAAACAAGACAGCTTTTAAAAATAAACCTTATATGCTTGACCCAGTATTTCCACCACTGTTCAACGTCCTAAATAAACTCCAACCTTATAAAATAAACTTCCACTTACATAGAAGTTAAAGACTGATGTCTCCTTAACCTAGAGGTTAAGGTTTGGGTTAACTGAGACCACTACCTATTTACAATCTTGGCTTCTTTAATGTCTAATATGTCTTTTCCCAGTTTTAGAAGGTCTAAGGAAAAATGGCCGACACCTTTGATAGACTTTTTTTCTGCTGATTTGAGACAGGTATCATTAAGTAGTCCTGGAACTCTTAGACCAGGTTGGCCTGGAACTCTCTGTAGACCAGGCTGGCTTCTAATTCATAGAGATCTGTCTGCCTCTGCCTCCTGAGTGCGGGCATTAAAGGAACATGCCACCACACCTGCCTTTCTTTTTAAACTGTATTTTAAACTGTTTTCAATGAGTTTCTTTCATCTTTTACTAGATTTTTCCCTCTATTCTGTACTCTTGTAAAAAAAATATAAAAAGTCACTGGGTGGTGTTAGTCCCAGCACTTGGAAGGCAGAGGCAGGTGTATCTCAGTGAGTTTGAGGCCAGCCTGGTCTACAACACAAGTTCCAGGACAGCCAGGACTGTTACACAGAGAAACGCTGTCTCAAAAATCTATATATTCAGAATATGTGTCTGTTTCTCATGTTCTAATAGCCTGCTACATGCAGGATGTGTGTTTTATGCTCTTTTCTTCATACTGGGGTGCTATACCCCACAATCCCAGACAAGCTGATTAAACTCAAGTTGGCCTCAGAATTATATTTTATCTCTATAATCTCTGTCATAAAGTAGTCACTAGTTTAATTTGTTTTTCCTTATGGAGTCTACTATAGCCTTTGTCAGGAAACCTGCAAGTTCAACATGAACCTTGATTAGTAGAGAGGCTCTGTCTGTCCCTGTCTCTGTCTGTCCCTGTCCATTTCTCCATGTACTTACATGCGTTCCCAAACTTTCTCAGCCTCAAGTCCTTCAGTGATTAACTTGGATGAAAACATAGAGATGTATGGAGACAACAGTGTGCCCATGGTAAGGACAGTGGCAGTCATGCCATTACCAGCTAGCTCACAGTGGCAACTACTGTGTTTGCTGTTACAGGGACGCTCCCCAGCCTTGTCACCTTGATTTAGTCTTGGTTCTGAATGAGTAATGCCAGCACTGGGGAGGTTCAGTCAGGACATCATGAGTTTGAGGCCAGCATACGCTGGATTGTGAGAAAAAGGAAAGAAAGGAAGGAAGGAAGGAAGAAAGGAAGGAAGAAAGGAAGGAAGGAAGGGAAGAAAGAAAGAAAGGAAAAGAAAGGAAGAAAGAAAGAAAGAAAAGAGGTCATCAAGTGGATTGAACTTTCATTTCACAATGTAAGCCCCAAGCTGGTTCTCTTTTGTTGTTGTTTTTGAGACAGGATCTCTTTACATAGCCCTCACTGTCCTGGAACTCACTGTGTAGATCAGCTTGTCCTCAAACTCACAGAGATCCATTGACCTCTCCCTCTCAGTGCTGGGATTAAAGGTATGTACTGC